CTGGCCTCGAACTCACAGAGATCCGCCTGCCTCTGCCTCCCGAGTGCTGGGATTAAAGGCGTGCGCCACCACCGCCCGGCCTTTCTTTCTTTTTTGAGACAGGGTTTCTCTGTGTAGCTTTGTGCCTTTCCTGGATCTCGCTTTGTAGACCAGGCTGGCCTCGAACTCACAAAGATCTGCCTGGCTCTGTCTTCCAAGTGCTAGGATTAAAGGCATACGCCACCACTGCCCAGCAATTTCTCATATTCTTAAGCATGGAAGAGAGAATACAGTTTATAATGCAACACCATTAGATATTTTATGCACAACTAGAAAAGAGAAGCTTTAAGCTTCTAAAGATAATGTAATGGTTACAAGTTACCTTCTGTTCAGTATATGTATAATGTGTAATGAAGTATCAGACTGTACACTCTGCATATATGTAATTACTACATGCAAACCCAAAATTGTGCAGTGTTTAAGGAGCTAGAGATGTTAACATGCCAATTTGAAGCTTATGAACTACATATGATTACCAAATTATCATGCTATGCTACAGAAATTTTGAAGCTAAACTAAAGAAAGAAAAATAAATATATTAATGTGTAATATCTTGAGATAGTAGTGAGAGTAACTCATGACATATGAAAATATCTATAATTTCACAGTGTTAGTATTGCTGTGCATTTTATTTTTGTTTGTTATTTTGGCCAACATTTAGAATATAAGGATATTCTCAGTTGTATTTTGACATTAGTGAAAACAAAGAGGTATGTTTCTCTATTCAAGATTGTTGTATCTCTTGAGTACTATTCACAGAACAGGATTTAAAAAAATCCTCCATATAAAGGCTTTCTTTGCTTTACCTATAAGTTCCTTTCAGAATAAGCACATTTTAGTTTGCATCTTACTGTTTTTAAAGATTATTTTGGTGTTTACAACACCATTAAAGTCATAACTATCATCCTTAAACCTATAGATAGTCACAGGCTCCTCTGATACATGACTTAAGAAACAGAGAAATTCCCATGGTAATTGCATCATAACTAATAGATTACAGTTTCTACTTCATTTTAAGTGAATAGATGTCAACACTATTTAAACATTTCTGAAAATTTTCCTCTAATTATTTCAGATATGTTGTGCTATCAAAGAGAAAAGCCTACAGTTATATAACAGTAAGGTTTCAAATAATTGTGCATATTTATGTTTGAAATTACTTCCTTCATATGCATCCCGGATGAAGGAATGTTCAGCATTTTCAATTTAAAGACCATTACAAATAAAAATACCATTATTACATAGCATAGCCATCTTCCTTTGCTTCTATGCTATAAATAACTTGTTTTCTGATTACTTCCATTGGTGTTGTACTGAATATAGGCTATTAATTAAGAATATTTCATGATTACAGTCCTTTTACATTTGATGTTAACATATTATTGTTGAAATATTACTTTATTTTATATTTGCTGCTGCATATTTTAAAATAGCAGTGAATGAACTGGAAGAAAGTGTCACTTATTTATTTATTTATTTTTGTTTGGTTTTTCGAGACAGGGTTTCTCTGTGTAGCTTTGTGCCTTTCCTGGAACTCACTTGGTAGCCCAGGCTGGCCTCGAGTGCTGGGATTAAAGGCATGCGCCACCACCGCCCGGCAGAACCTGTCACTTATAGTTTGAAACATATTTACATTTTACAAAACTTAACTGATATAACACTTTCAAGGATCTGTTCCACGAAACTGATCCGAGTGGATATCTGAACATTAAACATTTATTTTGAAAACATGTAATATGAAACAGAAAAGTATAAAACCCAAGTTTTTAAAAACTTAAGGAAGCTAAACTTGACTTTTGAAAAAACAAAAGTATAGTATTTAATATAGGTCAAAATATTTAAATAAGTGAACATTTCTAATCAATTCTAGCCACATCCCTGGCTGTGATTAACCTATAATTTGGATATTTTACAACAGAGTCAGTACAAAGTAGTTCTACAAAGTTAGATGAATATAAAATGTCAGAGCTATTTGTTGAACAGATATAGTGCTTCATTTTAATTATTTATAAATTATAACTTCCATTTAGAATTCAAAACATACAAGATTTTAATCACTGAGGTTAACAAACATCAGAAAAATAGGAATATGTTTTATTCAAAAACTATATAGTCAACTATTTATAAAAATAAGCTGGGGTGAAAAATGTAAACACAGTACTTTATGCATAAAATTTTCAAATAAATAAATGTAAAACAAAAATAAATATTTTTACCAATAAAAGTAAGTTTGCTCATAAAAAATTGTAATGAGGCGTGCTTGGCAAGATGGCTCAGCAGGTAAAGGCTCCTGCTGCTAAGACCAACAACCTGAGTTCAATCTCTGGGTCCTACATGGTTGAATAAGAGAACAAAGTACTACAAGTTGTCCTCTGACCTACACACATACCCCGTGGCATGCATGCATACACAATACACACTAAACAAACAAACAAACAAATAAATAAATAAATAAATGGAAAAGTTAAAAAAAAGAACCAAAATTTATATAAAAACAATCTTCCAATCTATTTAATCCCCAAGAGCTTCATGAAATGTATTTTACAATATTTCATGCCAGTATTATTAATCTCCTCATTTCTTACAATCTTATGTTTCACTACATTGAGCCCACATCAGGAATGACACTATTATTCAGCTTTAAAACTGCATATCAATGTTTAGTTTACTTAATTAATGGAATGCTTGTATGATTAATACCAGAATTTCAATCACAGAAAATAAAAAGGTAGATTTTCACAAGGAATTTATTTAGCAATAAATTTTGGGTCTTTACTTTATCTCAATATAATAAAAATATTTTAAAATCTAGATTAATAAAACATGTATTCAGATAATGATATTATTCTTTACCTTTAGAAAATTTTGTGTGTATACATTATGTATGCATGAAAACTCATATGTTTGTATTTTTAAATATGTCTGTATAATATGCAGATCATTTATAGGATGTAGTGACTTGGCCATTGAATTGTGTTTTCACCATTTATCATAATAGTCTTATTTGGTAAATAAAGGCCAAGTCCTCCTTTATGTAACAAGAGCCACTAGCATCCATAACTGGAGGTGTAATTCCAAATCTAATTTATAAAGCTTCTGTGCACTGGAATTCCAACAGCATGTATTTGGCTTCCAGTGTGTTAAAAACATTCTAATGTGCTGGGCAGTGGTGGTGCACGCCTTTAATCCCAGCACTGGGGAGGCAGAGCCAGGCTGATCTCTGTGAGTTCGAGGCCAGCCTGGACTACCAAGTGAGTCCCAGGAAAGGCGCAGAGCTACACAGAGAAACCCTGTCTTGAAAAAACGAAAACAACAACAACAACAACAAAAACATTCTAATGCAAAGTTCAATGGTGATTGAATACTACAACTTTTTTGTATATTTTTGTTTTCTTTTTACTTTTAAATTTGAACATTTTTAACCTAAGTAATCTTTCAAGAATGTAGTAGCAAATGTAGTTGAACTAAAATTAAATAATACAATTATGTTTTTACAGTAAAGTTGCTATGCATTGCTATTAAAATCTTATCAACCATGTATTTTTCCTACAAAACACTTATTTATAATTGCCGTTTTTCTTCGTTTTTTGGAGAAAAAATACTTAAGATTCAGCTTGCTAAAGTTGGAATACAATGAAGATATCCACATTAGGCAATGCTGTGTGATTTTTTTTGACACAGACTTGGAAGTCTAAGACAACTGAAAAGCACTAGAGAGCAACAAGTATGAGTTTTAGTACCAAATAAAAAGATGAAAATATATATTTGCTGCTATTGATTAATTTGATGGATTTCTTGACATTAGTACCTTACACCCAGCTTATAGTCCTTTGTGAAATGAAGTCTTGTTGAAAGGACAGTTTAAATAGCTCTGCTAAAAGGCTCTGTCTTCCTACCTCTTTTTCCTCTCAGCCAGCTGTTTGCAGATCTCGTGCCACCGCAGACTCAAACTTTCTAATTTTTCCTGTAGAATATTGGCATCTGTTTTTGAAGACTGTTGAATTATTTCTTCCCCAGTTGCATTCAGTGTTTTGACAACAGGTTGCCTCTGTCCAATGCCATCCTCGAGTTCCTGTAAGTCAACAAAAAGACAAAACAAAAATGAAATCCCCGAGTCCTTTAGTTTGAAATTAAAGAAAAAGTTTAAACAACATGCTGCCAAGTGCAGTTACACTGAGAGTGGAAGAAATAGAAGAAGCTCACAGTGAAAGCTGTTCCATGAACTTGATGTGCCTACATCCAAAGGATACAAGACCAAAAGACACCTTTCATGTCAGTAAAAAGCTCCCTCTCAGTTCAGCCCCAGGTTTGGTTTTGTAAGCTTGTCAGCTAGAGGATGCTATCATGTCCTACAAATCAATTAGTTGGAAACCTTCTCAAGATCAAATTCGATTTCTTGTCCCCACAAGGATGTTCTATATTTAATAGTCTATGAACGGTTGTAAAATTGAAACATGAACCAAGTATTTGGCTTTCTTAGTTGGTTGTCAATACAAAGGTGAAAAAGGACAAACACACTTTAGCTACAGTATTTTTTAAAACCTTCTAGAGCTTTTAAAATAAAAGTAATTATTATATTGAAGACATTTGTTTCAAATTCTGTTTGCACCAATCTATTTTGCATTATAAAGCCACATAAAACTGAAAATTAACTGCTTTCAGGGGCAACACATCAAGAAACCTCTAATGTACAGTAATAAATCTGAGAATAATCTATAGCTACCAGAAGAGTTTTACGAGTCATTGGTGGTGTCAAGCTTTCATATATTCTACATTTATCCTAAATAAAAATTTAAAACTATCAGAAAATTGTTCCATTAAGGAAGAAATTATTACAATCAAATTTGCATAAAATGAGAATGATTTTTACCATTAAAAATAAAAATTGCATTCCTCTTCTGTGAACCTATTTTAAAAGATAATATAGAATTTTTAGGAAAGTAACACATTGCCAAATCTGGAAATACAATGTAAGAACTTGAGATACTTTCCTATTAAAATCTAAATGGCTCCCAAATCCTTGTGTTACTGACAATACACTAACAGTATACAGATTATTCTTGCTTATACATATGACTCAGATGATTTAATATTTATATACCCTTTTACTTGTTCATGTAATACCATCTTCATAATACACATTTATACATATCTACAAAGCAAATTGATTAAAATTGATTTTAAACTCAATTATCTCTAAGTACTTCATTCTTCAGCAGTATGAAACTATTTTATTACTTTCACTTTTTACAATTTTCATTTATTCATATTTTTATATATGTGTGTATTTGTTTTCATGAGTTCATGTGCACCACATAAGTGGATGTGCCTGCAAATGCTAGAGAAGTGTATCAGATCCCTGGAGAATAGAACCTGGGTCTGCTCCAAGAGCAGTAAGTGCTCTTAACCACTGAGCCACCTCTCTAACTCCTACTCTTAACATAAATACACAAATTTTGGTAGCATGCTTACTGCAATTAAATAATCTCAAAAATCAATAAAAATGATATCAAGGTCTTCATTAATGGTCTTATCACAGCACAATAAAAATGAAAGTATGCCATCTTCAATATTCACAAGCTTTCTTGACCATACTCCTGGCTGTCTGTGATATATGATCTAGTAAACATATCATGTTCCCTTGCAACTAGTTAATCAGACCCATCAGTTACATTTTACTCTTTTCTAGTTGCTCTGATCACCACTATAGGTAATAGTAACTATTACTTGGTAACAAAATATCAGTCTTATCAAACTGTGTCTGCATTCTTATTACAATAAAATAGAGTCACCTGGTGTATCTTACTTAGAATGTTATATCTGGTGCATAAGATATTTCAGTCAGTATCTCTTCAATGAATGAATAAATCTATGAATAAGGGGAAAAGGATACAAGAAGGGAAAAATATAGAAAGTCAAAAGAGTAAAAGAGATGAAAGGAAGCTAGTCCAATAAAACTCACCACCATGGTAACATTGGACCAATGGAAGAATCATAAAAGAAAGTATAATTTCCTAGATTTTAGCTAGTATGTGATCTAGTTGAAGACATTACACATAGTGAGTTACAACTTCTTATATACATTAAGACAGAGACAGCAAGGTTCTTAATACATAATAAATCCGACGAGGGATGAGGTCATTAGTAGGAAGCATAGAAAAGAATTCTAAGGGAGTTCAAGAGTTGATAAGTGGCTAGACTTATCACTTTGACACAACACATGAAGGTTCAGGGAGAGCAAAAGGATGTCAAAATGCAAGGGCCTTTGTGGACAATTGTCATTATCAGGACGAAGGACAGTTTTGTTTTCCTGTTATGACAGTGTGAGTGTAAGCAGAGTTGTAATCATGAGTATATATTGTGGATAGACAGAGCACATCTTATTTGTATTAGGGAGTTTGCAATTCTTGGAAAGTCAATTGAAGACAACTCAATGTCTAGTTGTGTCTGATGGCACTTCCCTGTAATCTCAGCATCTGCCACTTTGGAGGTGGAGGTATACAAATTAGAATATTTAAAGTCATCCTTAACTGCATAATCATTTCAAGGCAGTCTGAACTACATGAGTCCTTGATGATGAAAAATATAAATTAAAAAGGAAGGAAGGAATAAAGGAGAGAGGGAGAGAGAGAGAGAGAGAGAGAGAGAGAGAGAGAGAGAGAGCCTTCCACTCTGAAAAATAATTCCAGAAGTCTCAGTGTTACCGACTTATTCTTAAGAAAGGATGGACTTATGTTGATGCATTCAACACAGTCAAGTCTAGGCATCTAGGAGATAAGTTATTGAAGCTAACCTGGAAATTTGACTAAGGGTCAGGAAAGAAAAACCTGGTAGTAATATAAAACGTTAAATAAAATTGCCAGGGTTTGGAAGCAACTAGAATCATGCAAGCATGTTTGAGACTCCTGAAGAGAAAAAACTTTACCTAAAAGAGTGAACATGGAGGCAGTTAAAAGGGGATGATTAGATTTCATGTTTATACTACCACATGGTGTTCAACATTACTCATAGTTTTAAATTAGTTTTAAAACTCATAGTTTTAAAATGCCCAAGGCACACAAACATACAAGAACATTCTGGACTCAGTAATCATAGAAGATTCAGAACTGTAGAAGAGGACACAATTTTTTTTTTATTTCACTGATATCGTTATATATTTTTTTAAATTTATTTTACAACACCATTCAGTTCAACATAATAGCCACAGATTCCCCTGTTCTCCCCCTCTTGCCCCCTCCCCCTCCCCCCAGCCCACCCCCCATTCCCACCTCCTCCAGATCAAGGTCTCCCCCAGGACCGTGGTCGACCTGGTAGACTCAGTCCAGGCAGGTAGGACACAAATTTGAGTGATATTTGGGGTGACAAAGAAGGAGTTGGAGGAAGACAAAGAAATAGATATTGTATAATACAGTATATTTATATTGCCAAAATAAATAAAAATTTATTAATGAATGAATTATCAAAATAAATTTTGAAACAATAAAAAGGAACTCCTAGAGCAAGTTATATTGAAGATTCTGACTCACTGGGTCTGCAAAAGAACAGGGGTTCTATATTTCTCATTGTCTCCAAGAAGAGGGTAATAGTGCTAGCACAGACAAAGCTTTGCACAGTAAGGTTGCAAAGTAAATACCCTGAGTCTTCTGTTTGAAAAGAATTTTTATTGCTAGTTACAACAATAAAACCACTTCAGATTTCTTATATCAAATTCTTCCATTGGTGCTTTTGGTCTTAGCTCTTTATCTGCCTGCTGATGTCTATGGTGACTTTTACAGCTTAGTTGTAGAACCAATAAGGATTTTATTATTTCCATATTGCAGATAAGAGATAGAATTGTGTATCTAAGAATGGAGTAATTACTTAAAATTGTTATTTCTAAATCTCATTTGTACAGAATCCTAAATCAAAGCCTTTAGTTTCTTTTTAACTTTGCAAAAGAAGACCTCATTAAATAATGTACTGAATTTGTTTGAAAGGATTTTGTAGCCAGAAGAAATATTTACAGTGTATGTTCTACTTAAGAAGAATTTTCAATGACAAAGCATAAGAGAAAAAAATGCATCAAACAGGAAATAAAAATTGCATATGCTGTTTCATGCTTGGCTTATGAGGCAGAAAAAGATAGCATTCAGTTTACAACATTAAACATGAAGTCTCAATCAACTTTCACACAATGCAAAACATTAATTTTAATTCTATAGTGTATACATATTTTAAGTATTGAATTATTAATTACCAAGGAACCTTTTAAGCTTTAATATCATATTAATATACTGCTATTATTGGCATCCTTACCTAATTTTTTAGCAATTACCATATAGCTTTATTATTGAACAAAATAAAAATTGTAATTAAATCTATTGGATTTTTCAACATAGTTAGAATGCTTTTGTGATTTGATTCCAAAATTTAAATACTCTTTCTTAATAAGGAGTGCATATCAAACTCCCCCAGGGAGTTTTTTAAAAACAAGAAAGCCCAAATTTCCATGCCAGTTCTTCAAAATCAGAATATCAGTGCCCAGGAGTTCGGTGGAATGAAGGTATTTAAAAATGATGTACCATGAAACAAAGGTCAGGGAAGACCAAGGGCTGTGTCTATCTGTTGCCAACTGCATGCCTCTTAGTTCCTTTGTAATCAAGAAGGGAACTGAAATTGTAGAAAACTACACTGTTACATATCCAAGATCTTTTAAGTCTGCTTAAATTAAGGGAGGAAACAAGGAATACAAGGAAGGAAAAATACTAATTGTTCAGAGATCGAAGAATATGAAATATAGAAACCTTACCTTTTATGTGACACACTGAATAAATATTAGAAAAGACTACTTGTAAAATTTTCCAAAGTTGTATGTAAATACAATGAATAAAAAATAAAGTGTGAGAAATACAGAAAAGCAGTGCACCAGAAAAGTAAAACCCCACAGTTATGAGAAAATGTACAATGCAAGTTTGCATGAGCTATGTATGAAATTAAGTTGCAAACTTTAAAACTAAGGAACAAAATAGGTAAACAGGAGAGATAAAGTATGATTTGGGAGATAAAGATGAAAGCTGATGGAACAAAGCAAAG